TAATACAGCCACAACTTGGCCTCAATATTTAAAGCTATGTTTTCAGCCTCAATATTTGAAGCTATGTTTTCAGCTGTTACTGAAGTAAGATTGCAGTTCAGCTTGCCATCTTCCTTTTTAATGAAGCCTTAGTTGAAAATCCCTGGATCAACATAAGGGTAGGCAAGGAACTCTCCCAGCTTGTTGCCCTGTGCATCATAATGGAGCATTTGGAAACAGACGTCGCAGAAGAAGCAGGGGTCTTGCGGGGCAAGACTGTCTTCATTGGTCACCCACCTGTAGGGTCAAAGGCAAAAGAAAAGAATAATCAAAATAATAAAGGGAAGCTACCAAATTTGATGCTTGAAAGGGTGTAAATACATATAAATGCATTTTACTATCTCATGGTTATAGCCTAGTGCTTCCCCATAAATTAAAACTATAGCTAAACTCTTAACTAAATTACAGGCAACTGCATCCAGCATAAACATCTACCGTAGATACTTGAACATAAGCCGAACCAAATATAAGCAGAGGCACCTAATTTTACCACAAAAAACTGGGAAAATGTATTGACCCGAGTATAAGCCAAGGGTAGGAAATGCAGCAGCTACTGGTAAAATAAAAAATAGATACCAATAATATTACATTAATTGAGGCATCAGTATGTTAAATGTTTTTGAATATTTACATAAAATTGTAAGATAAGACTGTCCAACTCTGATTAAATCATTATTCTAACCTTCTTCAATGTAAATGTGCTTACGTAGCCTTCCAATTATAATGGAGTAAAATAAAATAATGTAACAACAACAACAACAACAACAACAATAATAATAATAATAATAGAGTAAAATAATGGAAATGTAATATTAACATTATTAATAAAGTAAAATAATAAATATAATAATAGAGTAAAATAATAAATGTAATAATAACAACAACAACTTTATTTTTGTACCCCGCCTCCATCTCCCCAAGGGGACTCAGGGCGGCTTACATGGGAACGAGCCTGATCAACATAGTTAAAATAAAACACATTAAAATACATCAAAAACAGCATAAAAATGAAATTAACATTATAACAATTATATAAAAGCAGACATCAACCAGCAACCAATAGATCTGCAATAATGATCAATTTCTATAATAATAAAAAATTGTATAATAAATGTAATAATAGAGTAAAATAATAAAAGTAATGATAGAGAAAAATAAATGTAATAATAGAGTAAAATAATAAAAGTAATGATAGAGAAAAATAAATGTAATAATAGAGTAAAATAATAAATGTAATAAAATAATAGTAGATTAAAATAATGTAAATGTAATAATAATAACAATAATAATAGAGTAAAATAATAAATGTAATAATATAATATTAATAACAGAGTAAAATAATAAGTCAAGGGGGGCTTTTTGAGCCTCAAAAAGGGTTGAAAAGCTTGGCTTATATTCGAGTATATACTTATGTATGTACTCAGATATAAGATAAAGGTTTTCCCTTGACATTAAGTCTAGTCGTGTCCGACTCTGGGGGTTGGTGCTCATCTCCATTTCTAAGCCGAAGAGCCGGCATTGTCCGTAGACGCCTCCAAGGTCACGTGGCCTGCATGACTGGATGGAGCACCGTTACCTTCCCGCTGGAGCAATACCTAATGATCTACTGTTAAATGTGTTATGTGTTAAATGTTTTGATACGGCCAATAGGCCAATCAATAAAACGTATCTATCTATCTATCTATCTATCTATCTATCTATCTATCTATCTATCTAATGATCTACTTACATTTGCATGTTTTTGAACTGCTAGGTTGACAGAAGCTGAGGCTGACAGTGAGAGTCAGGCCGCTCCCTGGATTCAAACCTGCAACCTTTTGGTCAACAAGTTCAGCAGCTGCGACACTGATATAAGCCCCACTGAATTCAATGAAACTTAGTTTAAGTTGCATAAGACTGCAATCTTAATGGCCAAAAATGCAATATAGCTGAATAAAGAAAAAATATCGCAGAGTTTTCTGAATGTATAATATATAGTACCAATGTATGAGACAATATGACTTGCGAGAAGACTTTGGAAGAATAATTCATTCTGATTTTTAACATTTGAAAACAGGAGTTTTAATCAGATCCAATGTCAGCATGTGTTTGCTGATGAAGAAGGCTTACAATCAGTAAGGTTTTTAAGTAAAATGCATTGCTACACAAATAAGCTGAGGCAACTTAAGCCCAAAGGACCCTGCGCATGACTGAATTCCCTACTTCTGAGATCCAGAGTAAGGCTGCATCTACACGGTAGAATCAGTGCAGTTTGACACCACCTTCATTTCCTGTGGCTTAGCAGAAAGTGGCTGGCAGGGCAGAGGAAACAAGCCGCAAGACTGGCACTACACCAAAGGACAGCCTACACAGCTTCTGCTATTCTGTAGAAAGGGGAAGTATTTAAACCAAACTCAGATTTTTAAAGGGGGGGGGGGGTCTGCAGGTAAAAAGCCACACTAATTCCAATTTTTGAGGCTAGTTTGTAGAGGTGGATTTTCATTTCCAAAAGTAGCTTTGGATTATTATGTTCCCACATATTTAAATATAAGGAATCTATATTGGCCTCCTTGAATCTCAGATTTGAAGGAAAGGTGGGGTATAAATAAAGTAAGATAAATTGAAATTGAAATTTTGGTAACATGGTACCTGTGAAAATAGCAACCTTCCAAGCTTTCACTGTTTGTTAATGTATACATTTGCTAACCTGTATTGTATGTATATATTGATTTGCCAGTTTGACCAACCTCTTTGGTGTGGGAGGAGCTACAGATATGTGATTGTACTGAGCATGTTCAGACTCAAGTCCCCATTTTGTTATCAGTATGTTTTTGGTCTTCATGGTTAGCAGTTCGCTTTAGACCTCAGTGGGGCTGCTTACAGTATGCTTTTGGACTTCAATGGAAGCAGATGCGTTTTGGGCTTACGCAGGAAGAAGTTTGCTATATGTTTGCTTTGAGAAACAGTAAGTACAGTTTGGACTTTCATATGATACATACTTAAAGACTTTGGACGATTGATTAAGAATGATATCCTGTGTTCTCAACACCGAGAAACTACATCCTATCTATAAATGTGCCTGTATGATGAATTAATACAAGATGTTTACAAATAAACAAGATATGTTACCTTTTAAAGAAGACTTTGTTTTTTGTCTCTGAGTGCATATTTTAAACTAAGAGCTTTCAAGGGAGAATATATGTTTTGGGGAACTGCAATTTCAACTTCAACTTCAAAGAAACATTCTAAAACTCAGCTAGCTAAATATATGTTTTATGCAGTGGCATGTCTTTGTTTCAGGCAGTTCAACGACATAGTCTATCACAGTGGTTCTCAACCTGTGGGTCGCCAGATGTTTTGGCCTTCAACTCCCAGAAATGCTAACAGCAGGTAAACTAGTTGGGATTTCTAGGAGTTGTCGGCCAAAACACCTGGTTGTAGGCCAAAACACCAGGCTGAGAACCACTGGTTTATCAGTTTAACAGTTGAGTTACCTGTGTGCCATTATATGAATTCTTGTGAACATCACTTTTTCAAAGGGTTGACTTTCTAACAAGGTCATGCCTTTCCTTGACTAGTGGTTTTCAAAAGATAGTCTCTAGATATTCATGGAGATTCACATTTGCCAAAAAGATACGACATCATTTTCTTTCCAAAATGGTTATGAATGCCATTTTTTGCAAAACAGATTTAATAAGCCAATTACTCAGCTTTTGTTATTAGTGCATCCTTGCCTTACTCTGAGAAGCTCATACACATTTGGTTTAAATCCACTGCCTGCCATGAGTTCCAGTAATTATTAGCATTTTTGCTCCATCACAGAAATACATATTCTATGGAGTAGCTCCACTTTTTGGTATGATATGCAAGTAAGAAAGCAAGCCCCAAACACCATGTTGCTCAAGATTAGAGCAAATAAAGTATCCAATTGGAGAAGCTCAGAGCAAGCATGCCTTGACACTTCCCTTTTTATCTGAGATCTTAAGCCATTTCAGAACTTTAATGCTATTAAAGAACTTGTCATCAGTAATATATTTCCCACTATTTTGTGAGATATAATGAGCCACCATGAAGCAGAAGAAAAAACTCCCACAGGCAGTTGATCCCAACAGGATAGAAGCAGTATGAAATTATCTTAAGCGAGCTATTGTGACATGCTTACTAATACAGTCAGCCAACAGGTAAAACCAACTTTCCCATTGAGCAAGAACACAATATGTTACTTGCCTCATCCATGAAATTTAATTTTCACAGTCACTGATATTACCCTGACAAAGCTTATTTTCTTATTTTAAGCATCCTTAGTTTCAACTGCAGAAAATAAGTTTTCTAAATCCACGTGAACAAACAAAAAACCTGTTCAGGCATCAGTCTAAATGTGTACATAATGAAAAGGAGACAAAGATGTGAACATACAAGACAACCTCTGTGTTCATGGGACCAGTACCTAACCTGCTTCCAACAAAATGCATATCGTATTTAAAGCCTTCTTAAATTATTAAAGCAGTATTAAAACAAAAGCTATCAAAAGGACTACATTGAAAAGATATCTTCGCAAATAATCTAACCTGTTTACAGACAGATCTACAAAAATTATAGTTGGCCAGTAAAAATCCACCAGTAAAAGGAGTGTTGGAAGAAGAGGTCAAAGCAAAAAAAACAACAAAAAAAACAGGATAATGTCCACAAAGTGGGGCATTTTGTTCAAATATAAGTCCTAAATGAAAGTCCCTTCAGAGTAACTTGTTGCCCACCTGCCTATCTGTCCATCCATACATCTCAAATATTTATAGCTTGCTTTATAGTAGGCATGGGCAAACTTCAGCCCTCCTGGTGTTTTGGACTTCAACTCCCACAAATCCTGGCCTCAGGCCCCTTCCTTTTCCCCCTCAGCCGCTTAAGCAAAATGAACAGTATATGCTAATTTAAAGGGCACCATGATCAAAACCTAGTTCATAAAGGTGGAATATGCCTGTCATCACTCACCTGGCTGTGTACATTTTGCATACAAAACACTTCTTGGTCCATAACCAGGGTTTTCGAGTTAGTAAGGGATAGAGGCTCCTATCCAGGCAATCATCCTGATGAATAAGCCTGGCACAGAGAAAGAAATTGGTTAGATTGAAACAGTGAACTGAAATTTAAACACTACAAATGTAAAGTCTCTGAAAATTTTTAAGCCATTGAGGGGGAAAATAATTTTCAGAAAAGTTGAAAAACTGAATATTAATTATCAGTTACAAATGGTGCCTCTCTCTCTCTCTCTCTCTCTATATATATATCTATATATATAAATCTGTTAGGTTGGTTCAACAGGACAGCAAAACTCTAAAACCCCCAATGAAACTTAACCAAAATTCCCATGCCCATAACACAACCCACAAGGTACAAACATATCTACTCAAAATGAAAAACAACACAACAACACACTCACAAAACGGCAAAACAACAAAACTCAAAAAAACCCCAACAAAACTTAACCAAAATTCCCATGCCCATAACACAACCCACAAGGTACAAACATATCTACTCAAAATGAAAAACAACACAACAACACACTCACAAAACGGCAAAACAACAAAACTCAAACCCCCCCAACGAAACTTAACCAAAATTCCCATGCCCATAACACAACCCACAAGGTACAAACATATCTACTCAAAATGAAAAACAACACAACAACACACTCACAAAACGGCAAAACAACTGAGCATGCGCATTGGCGCCCAGCCGCAAGTTCCCTGGCGCGCGCACACAGCCTTCCGGCCAACGTTCCCTCTGCGGAAGCCATGCCCACTCCAAGCCCCGCCGCGCCGCTTCCCACACACACACCCCCTGCCGCACACACACACACAACCACACTCCATCACTCCCCATGCCGCCGCACACACACACACAACCCCACGCTCCATCACTCCCCCGCCGCCGCACACACACACGCAACCCCACGCTCCATCACTCCCCCGCGCCCGCACACACACGCAACCCCACGCTCCATCACTCCCCCTGCTGCCGCACACAACACACGCAACCCACTCCCCCCCGCCGCCGCACACCCACACTCCAAGCCCCGCCGCGCCGCTTCCCGCACACACAAACCCCTGCCGCACGCACACACACAACCCCACGCTCCATCACTCCCCCGCCGCACACACACACGCAACCCCACGCTCCATCACTCCCCCCGCCGCACACACACGCAACCCCACGCTCCATCACTCCCCCCGCCGCCGCACACACACACACAACCCCACGCTCCATCACTCCCCCCCCGCCGCACACACACACACAACCCCACGCTCCATCACTCCCCCCGCCGCCGCACACACACACACAACCCCACTCCCCCCGCCGCCGCACACACACACGCAACCCCACGCTCCATCACTCCCCGCCGCCGCACGCACACACGCAACCCCACTCCCCCCGCCGCCGCACACACACACGCAACCCCATGCTCCATCACTCCCCCGCCGCCGCACACACACACGCAACCCCCCGCTCCATCACTCCCCTGCCCCAATCTTACCTCCTTTTACTTCACGCCACCTCCAAACCCCACCCCGCCCCTTCCCGCCCTGTCAAAATCTAGGAAAGACAGGAAGGAAGGAAAGAAGGAAGAAAGAGAAAGGGAGGTAAAGAAAAAGGGGGAAGGAAGGAAAGTTAGAGAAAGAAGGAAGAAGAAAAGGAAAGAAAAGGAAAGATGGAAGGAAAGGAAAGAGAGACAGCAGAAAAGAAAGAAAAAGGGGGAAGGAAGGAAAGAGGTAGAGAAGGAAGAAATGAGAGACAGAGGGAGGGAAAGAAAAAGGGGGAAGGAAGGAAGGAGAGAAGGAAAGAAAAAAGGGAATGAAGGAAGGAAAGAGGGAGTGAAGGAAGGGGAAGATGTAGAGAAAGAGGGAGGGAAGGAAAGTAGGAAAGAGAGAAGGAAGAAAAGAGACCAGAAGAGAAAGAAAAAGGGGGAAGGAAGGAAAGAGATAAAGAGAGGAGAAGGAAAGATGGGAGGGAAGGAAGGAAGGAAGGAAAGAAGGAGAGAAAGAGGGAAGGTTGGCCACAGCAACACGTGGCGGGTAAAGGTTGTTATTTCTATTATTATTATTATGCTATTATTCCTATTAGACCCTGGGGGAATGGGAGAGGTGTCAGGTCCCAGAGGCAATGCATTGCATTATTGTTATTGTTATGATGGTGGTGAAATAAAAGGAAATAAAAAGTGAAAGAAGGAAGCAAACAGGGAGGGAAGAAAGGCAAAGGAAGAAAGGGGGAGGGAATGAAGGAAAGAGAGAAGGATGAAACCAAGTAGTGAAAGAAGGAAAGAAAGAAAGAGGTAGAGAAGGAAGAAAGGAGAGAAAGGGGGAGGAAAAGGGGGAAGGAATAGGTAGGTACCTCTCTTTCATAATAGTCCAGATATCTACCTCAACTTTGATAAGTTTTACTATAGGCCACAGCAACGCGTGGCAGGGCACAGCTAGTATATATATATATATGTAATCCCAGTCAGTTTACCAGCTGTTAGAAATTGTGGGTGTTGAAGTCCAAAACACCTGGAGGGCCAAAGTTTGCCCATGCCTGAGTTACAAGGTCCTGAACTGAAAGATATATCTAAACTATAAGAGACTTATTGAGGAGCAGGCAAAAAATAAAAAATACATAAGAATTATTATTAGTAGAACAGAAGCAATTATTTTGCCTTTACTAGTTCTCCATAACATCACAATGCTCTAATTTCCATAAAAAGAAATGAGAAAAAGAAATTAGGACTCTTGTGATTTGATACTGTACATAGTTTTATATACATGTCTTCATTGCTTACATAGTTTTTAGAAATGATTTTGGGGAAGGAAATACATGTGCACCTGGTAGACATAAGAATATCTGCATTAACAATCTGCACTATTGGCAGGCTACCACAAGTTCAGAAGAGTTTGACGTTGAAGAAGCCTGAGAGGCACTGTTAATGAGTAACAATTTACCTGATATCTGTGATGATAACAATGTGCTCACAGTCTCCTTGGTGACAGTACAGGTACGGAAAACCTATTTTGATGTTCAAGTCCTTAAATGTGTAGTCTTCCATTTTAGCAGACTGAAGATTTGAATAGCCTCTGTTGCGAGATTCGGACCACTCAATAATTGTGCTGAAATGATTATAGTCAATATTATTGCTACTTCTCTAAAATTTAAGACTATATTCCTTTAATAGTAAAGAAACAAAGTATCAGAACAAGACATTGATGGAATACTGTTACTAGGTGAAGTGACCCTCTGATGTCACTTGATTGGCTGCTGTTAAGTGAAGAATTGGCTGCTGCTAGGAAAAGTTGCCCCTTGTGATGTGACTGGGACAGAAATGTGGCATGTGTATGAGGAGAAGGGATGAAAGAAGGAAAAACATTGTTGCCTAAAATACATTGTGAGGAAGGCTTTCTCACAGCTGGAGAATGGAGAAAGTAGGTGAGCTGAGGTTCCAACAACATCCAGGCAATACAAGGTATGTACGCTAGCAGGGTAAACAAAATCTGAAGGGCAATATGTTAGGGATAACTGATGTAGAATATATGGTAGTTTCCAACTTGGGTTCCCACGTTGGTGGACTACAGTTTTCATCATCCATGACCACCACCTATATTGATTATTATGAGAGTTGTAGTCAAACATATGGGGAGCCATTGTTGGGAACCACAGTAATAATACGTAGGACCAGAAGGTGACATTATAGGGGCAAAATATGGGACTCCCAACTACACAGTCCTTATGCAACACCTCCCTAGGTGCTCCCATCATTCCCTTTCCTCTTCCTGTTATATCAATTTCTAAGGTACTATTGAGTTCTCTCGTAATCTGGAAAAATTCAAAGTCCTGGCATCGTCTTACGACAGCTATTCAATCACATGCGGTATTGCTAAAACACTAAAATCACATTCAGCAAAGGATCCCCCCAGACAGCAATCAGCCAGGCTTTGAAGCTACAAGGCCATTAAATGCTAATCAAGGTGTTCAACTTCAACATTTACACCTGCCTCAAGTAGGCAAGAGTTCTTTCTCCCACCTTGGACATTCCAGATATATAAATCTCATTTGCCTAGTTTCCAACAGATTTCCCAACCTCTGAGCGTGCCTGCCATAGGTGTGGGTGAAATGTCAGAAGAGAATGCTTCTGGAACATGGTTATAGAGCCTGAAAAACTCACAGCAGGCCATGAAAGCCTTCAACAACACATTCAGCATTCTCTGTCCCTAACCCTGAGATCTCTGCAGACATTTAAATTCTTTACCTGCTTAGGTCTCTGCACTCTGGGTACCTTCTATCATCATAAAAAACACCTTCGAAATAAAAGAAAGCTGACTTGTAAAGATCCTGCAGAAACGAGGAAATGTAAGGAGAAACAAGGGGAGAAAAGGATTACTTTGATAATCAGTATGTGGAAGATTTCACTTCCTGTCCTAATGTCCCATCTGAATTCTGCAAGGCTGATCCTGATTGCTTGAGTGCAGTTGTTCTTTTCACAAGCCAAGTCAGAACTGCCAACAACTTTTATACTCTTTGATTATTGATCCTGATGCTATAGACATATTTAGTTCCTGTCCCACAACTGAGCCATTTTCCCCTCATTGGAATTCCATAAAAGCCTGAGCCTCCTCTACAACAGGAGCAAGAATCACCTGTCCCTCTAGATCAGTGGTTCCCAACCTTTTTTTTGACCAGGAACCACTTGACGAGGGACACTCTCCACCATTAGTACCAAAAGGGTTACAAATCAGTTTTTGGTCAACTTTAGATTCGGTTTGGTTATTTGGGGCACTGATTCAGAAAATTGCATTGGCTAAACCACATCAGCTCTAGTTTCTGGTAGAGAACATATGCCATCCAGTAGTCGCCACCTGCTCGCACACAGAAAACCATATTTAATAATCTAGAGCTGATGGGGTGATAGTAATCTTTCATGGGTAGTCAGCCTCTCCCCTCCTGACATCCCCGTTGCCTCGGCATTATAAGAGGGTTTTGTGAGACCAGTTGCTCTTGTTGCCGTGTGGTTTTGAGGCAACACTGTAGTAATGGTGAGGCCGCAGACCATATTTTTTTCTTGGGGACCACAGGTTGGGAACCACTGCTCTATATCAGTGTTCCTCAGAATCTGCTCCTCCAGGTGTTTTGGACTTCAGCCCCTACAATTCCTGACAGCTGGTAAGTTGGCTTGAATTTCTGGGAGCTGAAGTCTATAACACCTGAAAGGTCAAAGTTTGCTCATGCCTGTTCTAGATGCTGTTGGACTGTGACTCCCAGCATTTCTCACTATTGGCTATGTTGACTAGAGCTGCTGGGAGCCACAATCCAATCGCATGATTGCCATCCTCATTAAAATCAACAGGCAACAAACATGAGGATTATGGATTAGTTTAGTAAGTGTTTGTTTAGAATGTGTATAGGTTGTAAATTGTAAATAAAGGTATGTTAGTTACAGAAAGTGAGTTGAAATCGTCTAAAAAGATCCACAGAAACAAACATCACAGGGAGTTAACCCTTCCTTTGCTATCCGAAATGGACCTGTTCCAACTTACAAACATATTCAACTTAAGAACAAGAACCTATCTTGTTCATAACTTGGGGACTGCCTGCATACAGCACATTCCTGGGGTTAGGGACACGGGACCATCACAAAAAACCCCCAAGAATATTATATAATTATTTATTTTGCCTGAAGATCATCTCCTCTAGGAATCCCTTGATCCTTGAGTGTGATGCTATGATCAATTTCCAGTGGAAGTCACAAAGGAGAACCTTGAGATACCTAGACAGAACAATTTGAAAAAGACCCCCCTTTTTAAGGAAAATACTAGAAATTAAAGTTACAATACCTTGCTGATGTTTTCAGGAGCTTGATCAGGATTATTGCTGAATTCCCCTCCAATCTGAAGGTCACTGACACAGGAAATGGAATCTCTCAGTTCAGTAAGTTTCTGGCTACCAAGAACCAACACTGTCTGATATGGCTTTTGAAGCTTATGCTATGAACAACACAAAGAACAAAGATCAACTAAAATCCAAACAAAAACATAACATCTCTCTAGCTTTATTTCTGAATCAGGTGGGGGAAAGTGTCGGCTTAATGCAATCATCACTCCTATTGTGTCCCCTCTAAAATCTCAGGAGCTGCCACCCCTACAAAGCCTTAAATTGCTGCATAACAGGGAATAATTTAAAATTTCTGTCAGTTCATTTGCGAATTATATTGCTTAGCATCTCCATGAAGCAGCTGGGAGAGATCATCTGGAATTTTGGAGTCTGATTCCATCTGTACGCAGATGACGTCAAACTCTATCACTCTTTTCCACCTGCTGCTAAGGAGGCTGTTCAGATCCTGAACCGGTGATGGCGGCTGTGACAGTCTAGATGAGAGCGAAATAAAGGAAATAAAAAGAAAGTTACTAACCTTCTGAAATATAACAGGGTAGTAAATATTGAGAGTTAAGACAAGCTCTCCTTCCTTAAGTAAGTTGGCTGGATCTTTTGGCTTCTTTCCAATTGCGTGAGACTCCTAATGAATGAGAACATTGAAATTGCATGTGAATGTTTAACTAAAAAATATTGTTTGGCAAATTAAAAAACAAATGCAAACCGATTTTCAAAAACCCAGCCCCCTTGATGGACTCAAATACTGGGCTCAAATATTGTTAAGACACACAACTTCTGAATGATAACCACAGTGGTTATCATGGTGGCTGGTGCCTTGAGGATGTTCTCAAAGTAAATTAGTGTTCTGGGATAGGAGACGCTATTTATTTATCGTGTCAGAAGCAAATTGAGAATACAGTTATAATGTATAGAAAAACCACAAAGTTAAACACTTGACAACATATTAAATTTCCTTTGGCCAGAAGCAGGCCTCTTGGAGTGCCTCTGATGTTGCTGTAAGGAGGTCCTCCATTGTGCATGTGGCAGGGCTCAGGGTTAGTAGTAAGTGGTCTTCTGTGTGCCCAGGGAGGAGTTTCTCATCACTGTAGCTAATATATAAACGGAGGAAGAGCCTTGCTGCATCAAAGCATCAAAGCTCCTTCTTGTCCAGAATCATGTTTTGCACTCCCAATTTACTAGATTTCTAAAGGTAGCTTGTAATCAGGATATGGGTGAAATAGAAGGTTCCATTGTAGTTGCCCTCCATAATAAATAAAGGGGCACATAATCTCAGATTCTGGAATAAGAATATCCAGTTAATGCTCCCCATTTGTGGGTCTGATTTAACAGATAATAGATTTTTTACAGATGTCATTAAAATGTTTTCTACAAATCTCTGTGCCCTTCCGGGCTCTTTACGGTCAATTTCCACTGGAAGTTCTTCATAGAGTCATGCTGGAGGATCTAGAGATTCCAGCAGAAAACACCTCTCTGGGAATCTCTAGGTCTTCCAACTGAAGTTGACCATAAGGTCATCAGGGAGACCTAGGTCTTGTTTACATTGGGATATACTCCATTTCTTAGACTCTTTGAACATGATTCCAAATGCATCCAATTACACTATGTTGATGCGGTGGTGAAATGTGTTAAACTCTTGTGCTGCTAAACTGCTGTCCTGAAGGTCAGCAGTTCGAATCCGCCAGACAAGGTGAGTTCCCACTGTTAGCCCAGCTCCGGCCAACCTAGCAGTTTGAAAACATGCAAATGTGAGTAAATCAATAGGTACCGCTTTGGTGGGAAAGGCATAAGACACTCCAAACAGTCATGCTGGTCACATGACCAGCAAGTGACAATGCAAAGGAGAAGGCTCTGGCTTTGTTTGTGTTTGTGTGTTTCAGCGTACTGTAACAAGGCATTGAATGTTTGCAGATATCTGTTTACACTGTAATCCGCTCTGAGTCCCCACAGGGAGAAGGATGGAATATAAACAAAGTGTTGTTGTTGTCGTTCTTCTTGTTGTTGTTGTTAGTATTATTATTATTATTTTATATACAACAAGATTAGTACACAGCAAACAAGATCACTATGCTGGCTTTTGGATTTGAACACATGTCAGACATTTCCCAAGTGTCTAGGACTGTGTGATGTATCGGCGAATAATGTGTGCAGATCGCGAAGTAGGGTGGCCTCTTTGAAGCTGACAGATGGTAATTTTGTCAGCGCTGATTGTTTTTAAGTGCAAGCTATTATAATCATCATCATATTAGCTGTATTCCGTCAATAATCTAATGGACTCCACCTGCAAAATGTTGCAGAAATATAAGCTAAGTTTTTCAGCTCTTTTTTCCAGCTGAAAAACCCTCCCTCAGCTTATATCCGAGTCAAGCCTGGCTGGCCATGGAGGAGAAAGAGGGGGAGGATGAGCGGTGGCTGTGGCACTGGAGACCCCAGGAGAGCTTGGGGACTCCATGTTCAGCCTTCCGATTAGGCCACCTTTGGCCAAGGAAACCCCCCGCTGCCACTTCTGGCAAGACCACCTCTGGCCTCCGTCTTCAGCCTCTGGGAGCAGTGTGGCTTTGGCCAGATGTTCTGTTGTGCCCCAGGAAGGAAGGAAGCAGCTTGAGGAAGGAGGGGGGAGGCAGACTAGATGGAAGCAGCGGTGGGCATGCTTGCCGGCCACTTCACTCAGCCAAAGGTGATCTCACCAGAAGTGAGGCCATCTCTGGCTGAGTGAAGCAGCAGGCAAGTGCGCCCACCACCGCCACTTCCAGCCTCCAGCCTCCTTCCTCACGCTGGCTTGCGCTGGGCACAGAGGACGCAGCGGGCGCAGAGGAGGAGGACCTCCGCTCACAGTGACCTGCCTACCTGCCTGCCTGACTTCTGGGGCCAGGAGGCGAAAACTCATTATTGTTGTTGTTGTTGAGGCTGGGTGGCCATCTGTCAGGAGTGCTTTGATTGTGCTTTTGGTGCATGAAGGCAGAAGGGATTTTTGCTATTATTATTATTATTATTATTATTATTATTATTATTATTGTTATTGTTATTATTGAGGCTGGATGACCGTATGTCAGGGGTGCTTAGATTGTGCTTTTGCTGCATGAAGGCTGAAGGGGGTTGGACTAGATGTCCCAAGGGATCTCTCCAACTCTATTATTATTATTATTATTATTATTATTATTATTATTATTATTATTATTATTGAGGCTGGGTGAATATGGTAAACATTCAAAAACATTTAGACTACTGATGTCTCAATTAATGTAATGTTATTGGTATCTATTTTTATTTTGAAATTTACTCATAGCTGCTGCACTTTCCACCTTCTCGGCTTATACTCAAGTCAATAAGTTTTCCCAGTCTTTTGTGGTAAAGTTATGTGCCTCAGCTAATATTCAGGTTGGCTTATACTTGAGTATATATGGTAATTGCAAACTGGATTCTAATTGTGTTTTTTAATTTAATACAGTTCTGAGGAGCTGTTTTTAGATGTGATCGTAAACTCAGTATGCATTCCATCAGCTAAAATCTTGCAAAAATAGTCGTTTGAGATTCAAGGCTACGTCACTGTGTAATATTAGGAGGAAAATGATAAAAAGTAATATAGGGAGGCATTTGAATAGATTGGGAGGAGCCAGCAATCCATGGTGTGATGAGTCAAAGCAGAGCAGTTTCAAAACATAACAATTGGCTTTGATGGGGTAGGTATGCATCCTGTCTGAATACAGTATGCATCTAGTCCTAAAAAAATACAGGATGCATACTGATATAAACAGAGTATATCCCAATGTGATAAGGTCCCTAGAATATGTTGTCTCAGTTAAAATAAACATTTCTAAATGGTGGCTGTTCCACATTTGCAGGGGTCTTGCACCTCTAACTCTAGCAAATGTGGAGGCCTGACGGTAGTAAATCATATCACTATCCCCCATGAACTGATCTTATTCCTTTCTAGAATTTTCTATGTCAGCACTTATCAACTATATCTTCTAGCATTAAATACTACTCTTAGGCAATATCCTGTTGGGGGGGGGGGGGGGGGGGGACCGGCTTCCATCAATCTGTTCTGATGACAAGATGCATGGAAGGGAAAGCTTCTTTTACATACATACACAGACAGTGTATTATTTATAAGCTGCCTTTCTCTCAACATAAAATCAAAAGAGGCACAGAATGAGGTAATCCAAAAGATCATCTAAGACATGATAACAAAAAGTTAATATGAAATTAAGCAATCATCATGTTAAAGCACCATCACATTTTCAAAAATCAAAGATCATTTTAAAAACACAGTAAAATTTAAAGAGAGTGTGCCTGATTCCCATAAATATTTTTTCTGCAACTGATTAATAACTGAAAAGCAGTTTGAATAAGGTTTGCTAGCAAAAGGAGACAGAAGAAGAGCCCTGCCTATGGTGCATCTACACTGCAGAACAGTAGTTTCCAGACTTTTTTTTTACCAGGGACCACTTTGACCAGGTGCCACTTGATCAAGGACCACTTTGACCAAGGACCACTCTCCAACATTAGTACCAAAAGGGTTACAAATCAGTTTCTGGTCAACTTTGGATTTGGTTTGGTTATTTGAGGTGCTGATTCAAAAATTGCATTGGATAGACCACATAGTTCTAGTTTCTGATACAGAACATTTGCCATCCGGTAGTCGTCATTTGCTCGCCCACAGAAAACCATATTTAATAACCTAGAGCTGATGTAGTAGTAGTAATATTTCGTGGGTAGGCAGCCTCTCCCCTCCCAACATCCCCGCTGCCTTGGCACTATAAGAGGGTTCTGCGTGACCAATCGCTCTCACTGCCGTGACGTTTCAAGGCAACAGTGTAATAATGGTGAGACCCCGGACCATATTTTTGTTCTTGCAGACCACTGGTGGTCCACGGACCACAGGTTGGGAACCACTGCTGTAGAATTATTGTAGCTTGACACCACTTTAACTGACTGGTTCAGTGCTATGGAATCCTGACAATTGTAGTTTAACAGAGAAGACTAAAGACCTTGCAAAACTACAACTTCCATGGGCAGGGAAAGGAGGGGAGCAATTCAGATTCTGAATATACAGCTGCTCTGTTATCTGGTGGGAAGAAAAAGGAGGGTATACCCCACATATGATTGCACCCTTGTTTCAACCTGTCCTACTGAGACCAGCTGCAGCTCCACTGCAATGATAACTCTGGGCTGTATGACTTTTTAGGCCATAATGTGCACTGTTTCTGTACTGTGATTGTGTGCCTCCAAGTCATTTCCACTTGACCTGAAGGCATACCTTGGAAAGATCTTTTCAGAAGAGGTTTGTCATGCCTTCCTCTGACTTGCCCATAATCACCCAGTAGGCTTCCATGGCTCAGCAGGTATTTGAACCCTGACCTCCAGGGTCATAGCCAAATGCTCAAACCATTTGGTGACTCCCAAATAAACTAAAGCACTTCAAGCAACTTGATTTAACAGTGAGTTTGCTATTAATGCTTATGTAACCTGGACTATTTCATTTGGGTACTAGGAATGCATGGAACTGGAAATTCTTAGTATACAAATTCTTCCAGTTGCGCAGGTTATTACAGCACCATCTGTCAGCTGTGAAAGACAAAGCCCAGGAGAGTTTGGGGGACATTTTCCAGGAGTAAAGCCTTGAATTTACATAATAAAATCCCTGACCCAATCAACAGGAGTGGCAAAAACCAGATCAGTTAGAGATTGACAATGGAAACAGCTCTAATCTTATATGGCAATCATCCTAGATAAGTGAGCCACAGGATGTAGTAATCCAAAAATGTGGTAATCTGTCAAGATCTGATACATGGAAAACGATGACACACTGCAAGAAAAAGAGTTATGATTAAAGAGACATCTACACTGTAGAATTAAAGCTGTTCAATGTCACTTCAACTGCTGTGGCTCACTGTTATGGAATCCTGGGATCTGTAGCTTGATGAGGTACCAGCATTCTCTAGTACAGTGCTACAGCTCCCATGATTCTACAGCATTGATCTAGGGAAGTGAAAGTGGTATCAACCTGCAATAATTCTACAGTGTAGATACACCCTAAGGTTCATACCCTGCTTCCCTGAAAATAAGACAGTGTCTTATATTAAATCTTGCTCCCAAAAATGTGCTCATTTTCAGGGGATGTCTTAATTTCCCATGAAGAAGAATTCACACTTATTGCTGAACAAAGAAAAATGAACATTTATTATATACTGTACAGTAGTTGTCAGTATATAATAAATATACTGGTCTTCACACACAGGGCCGCAAAAAATAAGGGCCATAAAGTACCTCGCTCCCACACACTGTCTGGAGACTGTAACAATCTCCCAGAGCAGTTCCTGGATCACTTGTACAGCAGGGAAGGTATTGCAGCATCTGGCCACCAGGGGGAGCATGCATCCAAACAAAAACTTTGATAGGTTTTACTTTCGGGGGAGGCCTTATATTTAGCAATTAGCAAAACCTCTACTAGGTCTTATTTTCGGGAAAATAAGGTATCAAACATATCCTACCGGGCTGTGGCACAGCTTGTTAGTAGCCAGCTGCCTTAAATTACTACTTACTGAGAGGTCATGAGTTCGAAGCTAGCCCGGGTTGAAGTAAGTTCCCAACCATTAATAGTCTAGCTTGCTATTGGCCTATGCAGCCCAAAAGACAGTTGCATCTATCACACAGGAAATTTAGGTACCACTTTAGGGGGGGGGGCTAATTTAATTAATTTATGACGCCATAAAACTTTCCAGCAGCATGTAGAAGAACGAGGAAGTACTCCATCAAAGGGCTCAATGGCACAAGTGGACGGTGAAGTGGCAACTCCCCCCCGTGGCCAGAATTGAGCATACCCTCATGAAGCTGGAAAAGCTGGAATGTTAAATTGCCTCTGTGTCTATCTATATTTGTTGTATGTCTAAATGGCATTGAATGTTTGCCCTGTATATGTGCATTGTAATCCGCCCTGAGTCCCTTGTGGGGTGAGAAGGGCAGAATACAAATACTGTAAATAAATAAATAAATAAACAAACAAACAAACAAACAAATCCTAAGATAACAAGGCTCTAAAGCAGCAAGTCTTTATGACCACAATAAAATGTAGAAACAAGACTTCTGGAATGAAAGACACAATGGAACATTGGACAAAGAAGCTCTAATATCATCAACAGCCTTCTTACATCGTGCTGTAAACAAGGGGTTATGATTTGGCACTGAGCAACCAAAAAGAATTCCTGGGTTTGCCCTGAACAGCTCAATTAAAACATCAGTTCAAATAGAAATTTCTGTGCCAGAGTTTATTAGATGAGGGATCAAAACCAGAACTGCCTTAACGCTGATAAATGTGACTGCATTTTAAAAAATCATGCATTGTTCTGGTCACACCATCTCCAAAAAGGGAAATGCAGAGAAGGAAAAGTACGATTTAAACGATTTTGCAGCATCTTTCCTTAAGAGAAGGCAAAAGTTCTCTCAATTTTTTAGCTTACGAGATTGGTTATAAAACAGAAGACCCTGGGAGAGCTTTGTAAAAATATAGAGATATGCGTCAGGAACTTGCACCCAAAGGAGCATAAAACAAATCTTTAACAGTCAGTGCAGATCAGCTTTTCTCATCCAGTGATTCCCAGATGTGCTGGACTACAACTCCCATCAACCTCCAACCCGTATAAGCAATGGAAGGGGTTGTAATTCCACATATATGCAAAAAAAACAAGGTGAAGGTGGCTGGCAAAGGGTAACAATTTCTTGGTTTGGAGAAATTTTTGTAATAGCAAAATTCGGCAGCCTTCCAGGTCTTGTTAGACTGCAACCTGGCCTGTAGCCGGGGGGGGGGGGGGGGGGGGGTGGGGGGGGGTAGGGGTTCAACCCCCCACCGAAATTTTTCAGGTTATTTATTTATTTATTTATTGCTATTTTGGGCCTTACTAACCTTGCATACCTTGCATCTTATACCTTTTATGGAGCACTAAGTGTCTTTAGACCGTATTAAAAATGTTGTTGTGTTATCAAACTACTGTTCATGATTTGCTTTAAAAAGTTTCAACCCCCCCCCCCCCCCCCCCCAATTTTTTTTTCTGGCTACGGCCCTGACTGCAATACCTAGTCAGCATAGGCCATGGTGAGGAATACAAAGAGTAGCAGGTTAGTAATATGTACATGGAAGGCTGCCCAATTCTGAGCCCTGCTGTATAACCAGCACCCCCTCCCCCCAAAGTCAATCCGTGTAGCCCCACAATAGGAACAGGATCTTAATTGAGGTTTTCCTCTGTACTTGGATTAGTTATATCAGTCAGCTGGAATACACAGTAAGGGGTCTTACCATCTCATAGATAAATGTTTCTTGTCTGCATGCACGATCTACAATGATTGTTTTTTCTCGTCTCTCAAGAGCCTTCTGTCTGATTCTGCAGAACAGAGGAAGATAAAGGAGGAGAGAAAGCAATGGAGTTATACAACCATAAAACTTTATCAGTGTAAGCATCTAAAAGCAGGACCTGAAAGACTCAGACTACAATACACATTTTATCTAAAAGTCTTAGAAGCCAGTACTAAAATACTCACTTGTAGACAGAATATGTTGTGATTTCTTGGAATCGAGTTTATATTTAATATTGACTGCAGGAAGCAACCTATGTAAAACATTAACAACTAAAAATAGCTGGATAGCCATAAATCCTGTTACCTATAAATCCCATAAAACGGAAAATGATTTATAAACAGTAACAGTGAGCCCTCCACATTTGCTGGCATTAGGGGTGCCCCCCGCCTGAACAAATAAAAGAAATTGTATTATTACCTGAGAAAACATCTGTCTAATAATCTCTTGGTCTTCCAGCATGACTCTATGGTTGACTTCTGCCAGAAGTTGATCTTAAAATAATGGTGGAGGACCTAGAGCAGTGGTTCTCAACCTGGGGTCCCCAGATGTTTTTGGCCTACAACTCCCAGAAATCCCAGACAGTATACCAGCTGTTAGGATTTCTGGGAGTTGAAGGCCAAAAACATCTGGGGACCCCAGGTTGAGAACCACTGACCTAGAGACTCCTAGAGAGAACATTTTAACCAGATTTGTGAATAATCACATCCTCAAAATCAGAACTGCTAACATAGAAAGACAACTGTATACTCACAAGAAGGTAAAAAGGTAAAGGTTTTCCCTTACATTAAGTCTAGTTGTGTTCAATTCTGGGAGGTGGTGCTCATCTCTATTTCTAGGCTGAAGAGCCGGCATTGTCCGCACACACCTCCAAGGTCATGTGGCCGGCATGACTGCATGGAGCGCTGTTACCTTCCCACCAGAGAGGTACCTATTGATCTACTCACATTTGCATGTTTTCAAACTGCTAAGTTGGCAGAAGCTGGGTCTGACAGTGGGAGCTCACCCCACTCCCGGGATTTGAACCGCCAGCAAGTTCAGCAGCTCAACAATTTAACCCACTGCGCCACTACAGGAAGTATTTATTTTATGTATGAAAAACCACAAACTTGCAACTTTCAGTATGCAAACAACCTCACAGGAAGTGATATGAACACTATCATGTTCATCAAAATTTAATTATTAAATAATAAAATAATCAACATTTCTTTAGTGGCTTTTAGTTGCCACAATATGCCTTAAATAACTGCCATCATTGTTATTGTTTCAGCACAAATCCGAAAGATGATCAGAAGCAGCACCACATAAAATCAGAGCAAAAGCTTATTTAATCCAGGATTTGTGTCAGATATTGGCCAATCAGTTGCTTTTGGGAAGCTCACTAGCCAGGCCTAATTATGTCACATTCCTGAGCAACTTACATACAGGAGCATACTGCTTCTGATGTCATCTCTTTTTCCAATAGAGTTACAAGGTTGGTAGAAGCAGGGTATGCTGTGGATGTAGCATATCTTGATTTCAGTAAGGCCTTTGACAAAGTCCTCCATGACCTTCTTATAAGCAAACTAGTAAATTGTGGGCTAGGCAATGCTGCCACAAGGTGATCTGTAATTGGTTAAGTGACAGAACCCAAAAGATGCTCACCAATGGTTCCACTTCATCCTGGAAAGAAGTGACGAGTGGAGTACTGCAGGGTTTGGTCTTGGGCCCAGTACTGTTCAACATCTTTATTAATGACTTGGATGAAGGCTTAGAGGGTGTGCTTATCAAGTTTGCAGATGATACCAAATTTGGAGGGATAGCTAATACTCCAGAAAACTGGATTGGAATTTAAAATTACCTTAACAGCTTAGAGAACTGGACCAAAACTAACAAAATGAATTTCCACAAGGACAAAATGAATTTCTACAAGATACCACACTTTGGTAGAAAAAATGATATGAAAAGATACAGGATGGGTGATGCCTGGCTTGACAATAGTACATGTGAAAAAGATCTTGGAGTCTTTGTGAAAAACAAGTTGAACATGAGCTAACAGTACTATACAGCAGCTAAAAAAGCCAATGGGATTTTGGGCTACATCAAAAGGACTATAGTCTCTAGATCGAGAGAAGTCATGGTGCCCCTCTATTCTGCTTTAGTTTGTTCTCACCTGGAATACAGTGTTCAGTTCTGGGCACCACAGTTTAAAAGAGATATTGACAAACTGGAAGGTGTCCAGATGAGGGTGAGTCAAACGATCAAAGGTCTGGAGACCATGCCCTATGAGGAGTGTCTTAAAGAATTTGGTATGTTTAGCATGCAGAAGAGAAGGCTGAGAGGAGACATGAAAGTCATTTATAAATATGTGAAATGGTGTCATATAGAAGCAGGAGCAGGCTTGTTTCCTTCTGCCCTGGAAACTAGAACCGAACATTAGGAAGAACTTCCTGACGGTACAGGCTGTGGAACCCTCTGTCTCAGAGTGTGGTGGAAGCTCCTTCCTTGGAAGCTTTTAAACAGAGGCTGGGTGCCCATCTGTCAGGGGTACTTTGATTGTGCTTTTCCTGCATGGCAGGGGGTTGGACTAGATGAGCCATGTGCTCTCTTCCAACTCTATTATTCTACGATTCTATAATTAAGGAGGTGGCATGTAGACATTCTTACTAGCAGCTATTAATAGTCTTCACATCTATGCATATATTCAAACCTCTTATAGAGCTACCTATATTGCCAGCCATCACAACTTCTTGTGGCAAGGAATTCCACAGTGAAACTATATGCTGCATGAAGAAATATTTCCCTTTATCTGCATGAAGAAATGCTTCCAAATATCCCACCAATTTAGAAATACTTCCTTTTATCTGCATGAAGAAATGCTTCTCTGTACTTTCTCCTCACTGTGCATAATGTTAAGTATTCTCACCGCACCTTCCCTTATTCGTAAGTTAATAAGCATCAATTAGTGTAACTTTTCCTCTTGGAGGAGCTCATAATTCTGGCCGCCTTTCTCTGCTACATTTGCAGCTTTCCAGCTCCTCTTTAGGTGTGGCAACCAGGACTAATCATGCCAAATGTGGAATTTGTCATTTTTATAACAAAAGCACACTGGATTGATATTAAAGACTTAAATATATATATTCTTACGATCTGAAAGAAAATTGGCTTAAAATGTTTTATAGATGGTATATTACACCACATAAAATATCCAAATGTTATAAGAATGCATCCAACAAATGTTGGAAATGTGAACAACAAACTGGAACATGTTTTCATACATGGTGGACTTGCCCAAAAGCAGAAATGTTTTGGAAGTACATAAATGAAATCATACAGAAGATTTTAAAAATTAAAATTCAAAGAGAACCTGAATATTTTCTATTAGGAATGTTGGAGATAGAAGAAGATACGAATAAAGAGATGTTGTTTTATTTTTTGACAACTGCAGTCAAAATAGTATATGCCAGGAATTGGAAATTAAAAGAGATACCGAAAAGAGAGGAATGGCTGAACAAAGTATTAGAGATCATGAATATGGACCAACTTACTTATTGGCTATCACTAAATCAAGACTTACCAAAGAAACTAACTGGGACCTAATAAAGGAATACTTTAGACAGTTGAATATAGAGCTTATTTGCTAAAAACAATCAATCATAAGGATAAAGTACACGGAGGGGAAATATTCTATCAGACAATGCTAGTATTAAAACAGACTAAACGTCCATCAAAAACAAGAAGAAAGTCAAGCAATATTTTTAAAAATATTTTTTCTTTTTCTCCTTTTCTTTTCTCCATTTTTATTTTTATGTTGTGCGGACATATACACCTTTTTTCTTCTCTCATGTTCCTCCTCCCTCCTCTCTTCCTTCCTACTTTTCTATAAATGAAATTGTTCCCCCACTTTCAATGCAAAATAAATCTTTTTTTAATTCTCTTCTTTTTTTTCTCTCCTTTTAAACAAAACCTTAATTTTAGATAAGATAGATAGATACTATTTTCTTGAGCTATCTAATGAAGATTCCTTTATGGGTCAGTTTTTGTCGGTTCAGATCCCATGTGCAGACATAAAACCATATGGGTATGTTTTTGGTGCCACAACATGCAACACCTTATAGTAATTTACATAGATTTGCTGTTTCCATGCTCCATTCATTTTGCAATCCATTTTGTTCCCACCACACCCTTAATTCATGAGTCATCTAATTAGAAGTTTTAAAACTGTAATTCCAATGCAGATCACTGACACAGTTGATTGCCCATATCTTTCCATCACAAGTGTCACAGAATCCTAGAGGTGGAAGACCAGTAGAGCCATTTAGTCCAGCCCACAATGTGCCATAATAAACCGCTAAAGCACTCCTGAAAGATGCCCACCCAACCTATGTTTAAAGACCTACAAATTTGGAAAGTTCATCACCCTACAAGGAAGTCAATTCCATTTCTGAACTGCTTACGGGAAAGTATCAAGACACTGTAACAGAGGAAGCCATATTACATGTATGCACTTCACAATGTGATGAGACATGCAATAAGGCCTCCTCTGAAGATCCTAAGTTTCTGGCTGACCCATACCGGATGAGATGGCCTTTCAGATATCCTGCCCAAAATCATTTACAGTAGAGTCTCACTTATCCAACCTTCACTCATCCAATGTTCTGTATTATCCAACGCAGTTTGCCTCCTGCCCAGATCCACAGCTGTTTCAATACATTGCGATGTTTTGGTGCTAAATTTATAAATATAGTAATTACTACATAACGTTACCATGTATTGAACTGCTTTTTCTGTTGATTTGTTGTAAAACATGATGTTTTGGTGCTTAATTTGTAAAATCATAATGTACTTTGATAGGCTTTTCCTTAATCCTTCCTTATTATCTAACATTTTCGCTTATCCAATGTTCTACCTGTTCATTTAGGTCGGATAAGCGAGGCTCTACTATATCTGAAAACTAGGTTTGCAAGTCTGCACCAGCACATTGAATTGAGCTCAGAAACAAATGGGAAGACATTGCATTTCTTGCAGGAATTGTAGCATATGGTCCCTAATATGCACACCTGACCTGGTCGGGTTAGTGCATTCCAGGCCAGATCTACACTGCCATAATTGTTTATTCGTTCAGTCACTTTAGACTCTTTGTGACTTCATGAACCAGCCCATGCCAGAGTTTCCTGTCAACCATGGCCACCCTCAGCTCCTTCAAGGTCAATCCAGTCACTTCAAGGATACCATCTATCCATCTTGCCCTTGGCTGGCCCCTCTTCCTTTTTCCTTCTATTTTCCCCACCATCATTATCTTCTCCAAGTTTTCCTGTCTTCACATTATGTGGCCAAAGTACTTCCTCTTTGCCTCTAATATCCTTCCCTCCAATGAGCAGTGGGGCTTTATTTCCTGGAGTATGGAATGGTTAGATCAGGGGTCCTCAAGCTAAGGCCCGAGAGCTAGATACAATCCTCCAAGGTCATTTACCCAGCCCTCGCTCAGGGTCAAACTAAGCCTGAAACGACTTAAAAGTACACAACAACAACAATCCTATCTTATCAGCCAAAAGCAGGCTCATGCTTCCCATTGAAATACTAATAAGTTTATATTTGTTAATGTTGTTCTTAATTTTAATTATTATATTGTTTTAAGTGTTTTTTGCATTACAAATAAGATATTTACAGTGTGCATAGGAATTCATTCATGCTTTTCTCAAATTATAATCCCCCTCCTCCAACAGTTTGAGGGACTTTGCCTGGCCATCTCTTTATAAAGTTTGAGGACCCCTGGGTTAGATCTTCTTGCAGTCCAAGGTACACTCAGAATTTTCCTCCAGCACCACAGTTCAAAAGTGTCTATCCTCCTTCACTCATCCTTCCTTATGGTCCAGCTCTTGCATCCATAGGTTACGATGGAATACCACTGCTTTAACTATGCGGATCTTCGTTGCCAGTGTGATGTCTCTACTCTTTACTATTTTATCAAGTTTGGTCATTGCTCTCCTCCAAGAAGTAAACGTCTTCTGATCTCCTGGCTGCAGCCTGTGTCTGCAGTAATTATCGCTCCTAAAAATATGAAGTCTGTCACTGCCTCCACATTTTCTCCCTCTATTTGCTGGCGGTCCGGTTGCCATAATCTTGAGTTTTTGGTGTTTAACAGCAACCCAGCTTTTGCACTTTCTTCTTTCAGCTTGGTTAGAAGGCTCCTCCTCACTTTCAGATTATTATTTCACACTATAATTTCAGATTATCAAAGCAGATAATCTACATTATCTGCTTTGAACTGGCTTATATGAGTCCACACTGCCATATAATCCTGTTCAAAACAGATAATCTGGATTTTATATGGTAATGTAGAAGGGGCCATAGAAGTTTAATCAAGAGGTAAGGAAGGCAGGAACCACTGTGTCCAGATCTGCCTTCCCCAAAATAGGACGCAGCTAAGGCATCACTTAAAGATGACAAAAGTTAAGATGGCCATTGACTTCCAAGGAGCAGTGTTGAGGCTAAGAGCTTCTGCAAGCTATGGACCTAATCATTTAGAAAGAGAGCAACCCTATCCCGAAGAGGTTGTGATCAAAATTCCAGGTTGATTTTCCTACTGAAAAGGAGAAAAATATTGGACTTCCACACTCAGCCCTCCACATTTGCAGTGGTTAATGGCACAAGAACTCCATGAAAGTGGAAAACCCACAAATATCTCCAGGAACAGGGCAAGGCAGCCTTGCCAATCCCTGAAGGTATCCCCCACCTCTTCTGAAACTTATGGAGGTGCACTTATAGATCAACTTTGGCAGTCGGCTGGAGCACAGACTTTCAGATTCGGTCAAAAAGCTGCTCATTGCTGATCTGGCGTCACACAACTTTGGTAGAGGATGGGGAACAGTGAACTACTTTGCCAACCAACTCTAAGGGTTGAAGCATGAATGTTCACATGGTGGCCTCAGACCTCAAGAAAGGGAAGCTGCAAAGCTGTGAATAATCAAATATGTGAATCCAATACCCATGAAAGTAAAAGTGTTCCACATTCTTGATCTTCATCTGTACTTTGAATTAAGCCTGGAAACGAATTCAAAGCCACTACAGTTGATAAAGTACGTGCATAATGAGATCATAATGGCCAGTCTTCATTAACTGCTTGTTTTGATGCCATTGCAATTTCCTCAAAAGCATCTTCGTGCAGAACACATCATAGTAGGCTAATCAATTACAGCTACAAAGCTGGATTTTTTTAAAAAAGGCCAATGTTCTTCAAAGAAGATAATCTCTCAGAATAACAGTGAGTGTTTCAAATTCTTTAGCCACAGCCATTTATATTCATATGCCTAAGCAATTACATATTAAGTATTTCCTGGATGAGAAACAATCAGAAAAGTCCGGAAACCACACAACAACCCAATCAGAACTATGCTAGGAAAAACATTTCTAGGGAGAAAACTCATTAGGAACAGAGTGGCTATTAGTTCCACCACCTTTTTTTCAGAACACATGCCCTCTGCTTATGCTGGTTACTATCTTTCTTTTGCTTCCTCACCCGTATGTCTTTCTGTACTGCCTCCTACCCTTTCTTACCTCTGAATGACCACCTGCTTGCTTTTTCCTGCCTATCAAAAGCTGTTCCTCAGTTCCCTGAGCTCTGTTTCAGCATGCCTTCTCCCTTGGCTGGATGGGGTGGGCAAATAAACACAATGCTAGTGCTTTCCCAACAAATCAGAGACTTAATAATGCAGGTAAACAACCTGTACAACCTCTGCATCAATGGACAAAAGATGCAGAAAAAGGATGGACCAAATACAATGCCAGTGGGAGCAGTAGCTCTTCTGCTAATGTGTTCTGCTATACAATAAACTAGTGTAGTGCAGAAGTTGGGGACTTCCTAAAAAATGTTCAGCTACAGTAGTATGCAATGGAGCCAGTAGTAAACAATGATGGCAGCTGGGTTGTTGTAGGTTTTTCAGGCTATATGGCCATGTTCTAGAAGCATACTCTCTCCCGACGTTTTGCCTGCATCTAAGGCAAGCATCCTCAGAGGCAAGCATTCTCACAACCTCTGAGGATGCTTGTCATAGATGTAGGTGAAACATCAGGAGAGAATGCTTCTAGAACATGGCCATATAGCCCGAAAAACCTACAACAACCCAGTGATTCCAGCCATGAAAGCCTTTGACAAATGATGGGAGTTGTTTCCAATAACATGTGGAAAGCAGCATGTTCTCTATCCCTGACCAAACATAATAAAGGTGCATTGAACTGTGCTAAGGATTTAGCCCTTGAACTAGGGGTGAATCTATATTGTGGAATGGATAAAGTTGTATACCTTTTATACTACCATACCTCAATGCAGTGAAATATAGGGAATTGCAGTTTGTGGAGGCACCAGCACCTTTTAGGAGGGATAGCTAAAAGCCTTGTAAAACTATAGCTCCCAGAAGTCCATAGCATTGAATCATTACAGTTAAAATTGTGGAGCCCCCAGTGGCGCAATGAGTTAAACCCTTGTGCCAGCAGGACTGCTGACCAAAAGGTCGGCGGTTTGAATCTGGGCAGTGGGTGAGCTCCTGTCTGTCAGCTCCAGCTTCCCATGTGGGGACATGAGAGAAGCCTTTTACAGGATGGTAAAACATCCTGGCATCCCCTGGCCAACGTCCTTGTAGACAGCCAATTCTCTCACACCAGATGCAACTTGCAGTTTCTCAAGTCGCTCCTGACATGAAAAAAAAGTTAACATTGTGCCAAACTACATTCATTCAAAAATGCAGATGCACCCAAAGATAAAACTGGAGAGCTGCACACTGGATGCAATGCACTAACACTGTTGGGTGCAACCCGCTATAATGAGACATTTTGTCATCACAACTCCCAATACTGATCGGATCTTATCAGATGAAAAGGGCTTTGCTGCTCAGGGGTGCAAACAGACAGGGGCTTCAAGGCAACCATAAGTAATACATCGTGCAAACCAACTTCTTTATGTGCATATCTGTATCAGTGGACAGAAAAGTGAGATTATTTTTCTTGCTTCAAATGTTGTATTATTCCTATTAACACACACAGATGAATGCAGGCATGAGGTTTGCTTCAAATAATTATCACAATATATAAGAATACATGCTAACAATATTAATGACATTGGAAAACCAATATGGATTTGTGATGGAAATGAAATTCAATATACCTAAGGGTTAATAAATTGGTGTCTTCAGGTATAACCTCTGTATTTTCCTTCGCTGGTCCCATCAGCGCATCAACTCTAGGAGGGAAAAAAACAGCAATGAATAATAACAATGACGACAATAATCATAATACATTTATTAGAATTACTACTCATATTTTCACATGGCTAAGGCTTTACATTCAATATAATTGAATGTAAAGCCTCACCAAACCACAACTCTCACCAAACTACATCTCTCATAATTCCACAGCATTGACCGAGGGCAATTAAAGTGGTGTCAAACTGCATTAATTCTACAGGGTAGAAGCACTCTCGGTTTACTTACAAAGGCTAACAGTATTCTCACCCTACTCAAACTTCAGCTGGTAGACTTCGTATCCTAGTGACCTCTACATTCTCATGTAAAAGTTGCTCTCGTGTATAAGTCTAGGACAGGTTTTGTGAGTGAAAATGATGGATTTTTATATGACCAGTGCTTCCTTTTTTTAGAGAAGAGTTAAGGTACAGTATTCATCTTGACCATGGATAAGTCAATCCAGGTTTTTTGGGGTTGATTCTTTGGCTACAATTTCCAGACTTATACATGAGTATGTAGGGTACGTCTTTTGCCTAATGTGCATCATACCCCATGAAACGTGAAAAATTAGACGGAGAACATTCGTGCTACAAATGGACAGGGTGCAGGCCTCAATGAGGAGTGTGCTGTCACACGCACCCAAGCTGCTTTAAATGTCTTTAAGTGCTAGCGTGTCTTTCTATCAGCCTGGAGGGTGCTGGGTTGCCTTCCTGTTTGAGCAAGGAACCCCACAGAATCATTGTCAATGCTATTGCTTTAGAGAAAGTATAACGATTTATTAATTGGTCTTGGGCCTATCTCCACCCAGGCACTATCTTGATTTCCCCACAACAAAGTCCATACTTAAAGGCTGAAGGTAACTAGTTGTTCTTGAAGTCACTGCTAGTGGATGATTCTGGAGATGAAGGCCAGACGAAAGATTCCCATGCTCACTTTCTCTGGCAAAGGGGCCTCTTGGGCATTGGGTGCTCAAGGAGATCAGGCTGGAGGCTGAGAGAGCAGGTCTCTCCTATTGAGGACTGGCACCTTGCTGAAGGTGCTGGAAACTCCACAGGCTGCCACTGACCAGCGGTAAATCAGTATAGTCAAATGAGTTCCCAGAATAGTGGTAGTTATTGCCACCTGAAGACAGGCGGACAAATGTCAGCGTGCTGGAAGAAGCAAAGATCACCAGCATTGAAGCGATGGTCCTCTGCGATCAACTCCGCTGGACCAGCTACGTTGTCTGAATGCCCGATCACTGTCTCCCAAAGCAGCTACTTTACTCCGAACCCAAGAACGGGAAACAGAATGTTGGTGGACAGGAACAGAGATTCAAAGATGGGCTCAAAGCCAACCTTAAAAACTGTGGCATAGACACCGAGAACTGTGAAGCCCTGGCCCTTGGGCACTCTAGCTGGAGGTCAGCTGTGACCAGCAGTGCTGTAGAATTTGAAGAGGCACAAATGAAGGGTGAAAGAGAGAAACGTGCCAAGAGGAAGGCGTTGTCAAGCCAACCCCGACTGGAACCGCCTTCTAACTGGAAACCGATGCTCTCACTGCAGGAGAATATGCAGGTCAAGAATAGGGCTCCACAGCCACCTACGGACCCACCACCAAGACACATCACTTGGAGGACCATCATCCTCAGTCTATGAAGGATCGCCTAAGTAAAGTAAGGTGGTTATTGGTTTTAAATGGCTTGTCCAAGACTGGATCTCACTGGGACTAACTGCAGACACGTCTTGCTTCCAAGATTCCCTGGCGGTAATAACTCTAATCTAAAATGGCTCTTAAAGCTCCACCCTCATAAAACTAACAGAAAAGTGACTAGTCTAAAACTATGGGTGAGGAAGCCTGACAAAAGGAACTGGGACTTATAGAGTTCCAGCACAAGGAGACTCCAAAGATCAGCAGTGGACCACTCCTTGAAACATGGAAGGTGCCCACAGATTCTGGCTATTAGCAAAGAGAAGAATGTTTCCTTTTTTCCTTTTTCCTGAAACAGGGATTATGGGGTTTAAAACATTAAACAAGTAGGTTTGTCAATTAACTGGTAGCATGCTGTATTTATATTGCAGGGCAGTAGGAAGTTATGGGTGAGAGCCCAAGAATGTTGTTCGCTGCCAATACTACAATTCAGGAGAATTAAGCTGAAGCTCAGTTAATAATACAAATATCTTTGTGTTTTTACATTACAGAGTGTGGGACAGGATGAGCCCTGGATAACTTTGAAATGGAAATCCACTGTTAATAAAGCAGACCGGAAGCGGTCATCCAAACACAAATTCCAAGTGGATTGCAGCTTAAAACTTACTGAATCCTTCCTTCAAAATTCTAGGCCCCAAAAACAAACACCCTTAGTTCAGCATGACAAAGGGTTTGTCTACATGGCACTGTAGAATTAATGCAGTTTGACACCACTTCAAGATGGTCATGACTTCATGGGAAATGCAGTTTTAAAGGGTCTTTGTCCTTCTTTGCCAAAGACTGCTACTGTTTTTGGGGAGAACTACAAATCCCAGGATTACATAGCATTAAGCCATGGGAGTTAAAGTGGGGTCAAACTCCATTCATTCTATATAGCTAGCGTATCAGGTGTTTTATTAGGAGCCCCCAGTGGCAAAATGGGTTAAACCCTTGTGACGGCAAGACTGAGGACTGACAGGTTGGAGGTTCGAATCAGCAGAGAGTGCGGATGAGCTCCCTCTGTCAGCTCCGGCTCCCCATGCGGGCACATGAGAGAAGCCTCCAATAAGGATGATAAAACATCAAAACATCTGGGCATCCCCCTGGGCAACGTCCTTTCAGACAGCCAATTATCTCATACCAGAAGTGACTTGCAGTTTCTCAAGTCGCTACTGGCATGAAAAATGTGTTTTATTTATTTGTTTGTTTATCTATTTATATCCCGCTTTATCTCTCCATGCGGATACTCAAAGCGGCTCAAAACTTAAAATATACAAATATACAATAATAAAACATTATATCATTATATATTAACAGTAGTAATTCTAGTTTAGATTAGTATTACTATATCACAATATTATTATTATATATTATTATATTGTATTGTTATTTTGGACTTATATTTAATATTAGTATTACTATATTGCAATATTATTACTATCATTATTATATATTATTACAATATACAATATTATTACTATATATTATTATATTGTATTATTATTTTGGACTTCTATTTAATATTAGCATTACTATATTACAATATTATTACGATCATTATATATTATTACTAGCCGTCTCCTGCCACACATTACTGTGGCCCAGTCTGTGTCTATGTGTTTTGTGTATATATATATATGCATATATGTGTGTGTGTGTATATTTGTGTATATGTGCATATATGTGTGTTTGTGTATATATGTGGTTTTGCACATGTATTATAATGTATTTTTTATTTTTTAGCTTTTTAAGTTTCTTCTGTGGTGTTTTTAGTGTTTTTATGACTGATGGTCACTCATTGGCCTGATATGGGTGTTGTGTCCAAATTTGGTGTCAATTTGTCCAGTGGTTTTTGAGTTATGTTAATCCCACAAATGAACATTACATTTTATTTATATAGATATTACAATATTGTTGTTGTTGTTGTTGTTGTTATTAGATATTATATTGTATTATTATTTTGGACTTCTATTTAATATTAGCATTACTATATTACAATATTATTACTATCATTTTTATATATTATTATATTACAATATTATTATTATATATTATTATATTGTATTGTTATTTTGGACTTCTATTTAATATTAGCATTACTATATTACAATATTATTACTATCATTATTATATATTATTATATTACAATATTATTATTATATATTATTATATTGTATTGTTATTTTGGACTTCTATTTAATATTAGTATCACTATATTACAATATTATTACTATCATTATTACATATTATATTACAATAGTATTATTATATATTATATTGTATTATTATTTTGAACTTCTATTTAATATTAGTATTACTATATTACAATATTATTATAATATATTATTATAGTGTATTATTATTTTGGACTTCAACTCCCAGAAGCCTTAGCCATTTTGGCCAATGGCGAGGCATTCTGGGAGCTGGAGTTCAAAACATCCGGAAGACGAAGAGTTTTTCCGGTGATTCCAACAGGAAAGTCTTCCAGGCGTTGTGGACTTCGATTCCCAGAAGCCTCGGCTGTTTCGGACAATGGCGAGGCATTCTGGAAGCTGGAGTCCAAAACGTTAGGAAGAGTAAGGTTTGTCATAGGGGTTCCTTTTGGACTTCAATTCCCAGAAGCTTCGGCTGCTGTGGCGAATGGCGAGGGGTTCTGGGAGTTGAAGTCCACATACCTGCAGACCGCCCTTAGCTCGGCCGCGACTTCTGGCGCGCACTGAAACTCTGCGACCAACGCGGCATCCTCCTCCTCCTCTTCCCCCTCCCCTTGGTCTTCATCCTCGAGGGCCAGGTCCTCCTCTCGCAGCGCCTCCTTCCACAGAGCCCCGAAGGCGCCCACGTGGAACATCCGGGAATTCCGCTCCGGCGTTTCATACTCAGGAACGTTCCTTTCCGCGCCACTGCTGCTGCTGCTGCTACTGCTTCCAGCCATTTTCTGCAGCAGCGGAGCAGGAAGGGAGGGGGGAGGGTGAAAAGATGCGCGCGGTGCACTGTGGGACGTGTAGTTCCTTCACTAGGAAGCCGGCTCTGGCGTGGCGAGTCCTCCGTATCCGCGGTCCCTCCGTATCCGCGGGCTCAATTTTTTCTTTAAATTCCACAAGCCAATCTTGTGTATGGCATAATTATAGAGAAAGTATCTGAGTATTCCTTACTTGAAAAAAAAACTTGTGAAATTAATGGGATCATTATAAGTCAAAGGCCCATACACATAGAGTAGGCATGAGTAAACTTGGGCCTTTGAGGTGTTTTGGACTCCAACTCCCACAATCCCTAACAGCCTCAGGCCCTTTCCTTTTTCCCCTCAGCCGCTTAAGCGCCTCAGGCCCTTTCCTTTTTCCCCTCAGCCGCTTAAGCGGCTGAGGGGAAAAAGGAAGGGGCCTGAGGCTGTTAGGGATTGTGGGAGTTGGAGTCCAAAACACCTCAAAGGCCCAAGTTTACCCAAGCCTGACATAGAGGCTTTGCTATGTTTGGTGCCATTTTCACCCTTAACAATCCAGCTTTTACTTAAAACCTGTATTAACAACTGAGAGCCAAGTCCTCAAAAAGTCTATACGTGTGTTTACTCGGCTTTGTATCTTCTTTCGTCAACTCTCTGATGTGACTAAACATTGTTGGTTCATGTTAGCTAATGTTTGAGCTCTGTAAAAGATTTCCAGATGGAGTTACAGTGTAACTGATGAGGTCAATAGCCTCCCTTTGCTGCTGCAAGCTAAGCAAGACAGTGAACTGCTTTGGGTTTGGTTGTTGCTGAAAGGAGTTCTCTTTGGGTTGCTAAAGGAAGGAGTCAATAAAGTGAATTTGTAAATAGAAAGTCTATCAACAGTGGTGGAGCATGTGAAAAATCAGTTAATGTGTGACAACTGTAAAATAAGATGCATGAAGCTAATTAGTTAGACTACGCCCGAGGAGATAGCTGAGCCTGGGACTTTTGGATACTGTTACATTTATCAGGCTTGAGCTATGCAACTGCTTACAGAGAAGCAGAGAGAAAGAGAGACAGAGTTTGGAGTGTGCTCTTGCTTCATGAGCTGCTGAAGGAGTTTATCCACATGGACAAAGAAAGACCATTTTAAATCTCTCATAAAAAGACATTATGTGAGTTGATGCAACTGATCACATTGTACATACGTTTTTCTGTATTACGAAGAGTAAACTACTTGTTCTTTATTGTTCATCTGCATGGCATATTTTCTTTCTCTGGCAAGGCAGTGTGGGGGCTGATCAAACGTGAACTACACATGGTTTATTTTACATTATGCCATGTCATTTTGGGTGTTAAGCTGAAATGTAAAAAAGGCTTATCAATGAATTGTTTCAATACAGATCACTTCAGACAGAAATTCAGAACTGATGTATCACTCCATTGAAAGGAAACTGCCAACTGGTCCATCAAGGACAGGATTTGTGAGGAAATCTAGCCAAAGGATTTTGTAAAATATCACAAAGCTAGTTATGTATTGAATGTAAAATGTCACAAAGCTTGTAATATATTGTTGTTGCGTGCCATCAAGTAACTTCCGATCTGAAAGGAGATTGCATCTGAACATGAGGAACAACTTCCTGACTGTGAGACCCGTTTAGCAGTGGAACTCTCTGCCCTGGAGTGCGGTGGAGCCTCCTTCTTTGGAGATTTTTAAACAGAGGCTAGATGGCCATCTGTCAGGGGTGTTTTGAATGCAATATTCCTGCTTCTTGGCGGGGGTTGGACTGGATGGCCCATGAGGTCTCTTCCAACTCTATGATTCTAGGATATATGGTGAACCTAAACTGAACCTACAATGGAATTTTCTTGGTGAGATTTTATTTATTTTTTGTATCAGAAGTGAACCGAGGGTACAGTTGTACTCTATTTAAAAAACACAAAGATTAAAAACTTGGCATTCTACTAAATGTCCTTTGACCAGTAGCTGGACACTTAGAGTGCCTCTGGTGTTGCTATAAGAAGGTCCTCCATTGTGCATGTGGCGGGGCTCAGGCTGCCTTCTTATAGGTGGTCTGTGGCTTGCTCTTCTCCACCCTCGCATGTCGTGGACTCCACTTTGTGGCCCCATTTCTTAAGGTTGGCTCTGAATCTCATGGTGCCAGAGTGCAGTCTGTTCAGTGCCTTCCAAGTTGCCCAGTTTTCTGTGTGCCCAGGGGGGAGTTTTAGCCTGCCACTTTTGGACTCTCACTTGCTAAGGTGTTCCTGCGAGTATCTCTGTTGATCTTACGAAGCTGTTTATTGATTTAAGGCATTGGCATGCTGGCTGATATCCGAACAGGGGATGAGCCATAGCTGTCACGGACTTGATCCTTTCATTATTGGCTGCTACTATGTTGCAAGTCGCTTCTGGTGTGAGATGATTGTGCTTGGTCTTGGTGAGATGAGTTCAGAGAACACTTGCCTTTGCCTTCCTCTGAGGCTGAGAGAGTGTGACTTGCCCATGGTCACCTAGTGAGTTTCCATGGCTGAGCAGAGATTTGAACTTTGGTCTCCAGAGTCCTACTCCAACACTTAAACCATGCTGGCTCTCTTGGTAGTATGTACAGGCAGTCCTCAAGTTACAAACATCCAACTTACAAATTACTCGTACTTAAGAACAGGGGCTGAGACAACAGGAAGTGAGAGAAATCTACCACTCAGAAGGGAAATTAACTCCTGAGAGGCTTATCATGAGGAAAGGGTGTTTCCACTTACGATTTATCACCAATCCTTGTTTCCACACCAAGCAAAATTTTTCAAAACCCAGTTCTCAGAGGGATAGAAAGTGAGGTGAAATCTTCAGAACAGAGGCACAGGCAGCAAAACAAACACCACAGGGGTGTTAACCCTTCCCTATGCTATCCAAAGCTGTGTGTGTGTGTATAATTTATACTCTGCCTTTCTCACCCCACAGGGGACTCAAAGCTGTGTGTGTGTGTGGATTTACAGTTTAAAATGTACCTGTTCTGACTTACATACAAATGCAACTTGGGAACAAACCCAGAAAACCATCTTGTTTGTAACTTGGGGACTACCTGTAATTAATTATTTTATTTATTTATTTATTTATTTACGACATTTATATGCCGCCCTTCTCACCTCGAAGGGGACTCAGAGCAGCTTCCAAGATATATATACATACAATATATTATGTTATTATCAGTTTTAAATATTACTATATTGTACTATACCATTATATTGTAATATTATTAGCTATACTGTTCGTGTTTCTTTTCCATTCATTTTCCTTTGCTGTTATTTTGTGCCTTCAGGTTGTTCCCGACCCATGGCAATCCTAAAGCAACTCCACCATAGGATTTTCTTGGCAGGATTTGCACATAAGAGATTTGCCATTGCCTTCCTCTGAGGGTGAGAAAGTGTGACCTGCCCAAAGTTACCCACAATTATACTGGTAGTTTTTCAAGGTTTTCCGCCTTCTCTGCCAAATAGTGCTGGTGCCTCACCAAACTATGACTCCCAGGCTCCCATAGCATTGTGCCATGGCAGTTAAAGTGGTGTCAAACTGTATTAATTATACAGTGTAGAAGCATCCTAAAACAACCTACTGAGAGAAAATGTAGCTTGCTTTCCAAAGAGGGCAGGAAGCAGTGGCGCGAGGTTGCAGTCCTCGCCACAGAAGCAGAAACACCCAGGCTTCAGAGAGCCAGAATAGCTGGAGGCAGAGGAAGCCTCTGTAAATACACCCTCTTTAAAGAGAATCTAATCTCGTAGATTCTGGGTGGATGCTGCATTGATGTAATCGCAATGAGAACTCCAGCTTGGATGGTGAGGAAACGAAGGAACACCTGAGCCCAGAACCTGCTGCCAATTCCTTCAGGCAAGCCGGGTTCAGATGAGAGGTGACTCCCACAGTGGTGCCATGCTCAAGATAATTCAAGCATGTAGCAATTCTAGGCCCAGGCTTAAAGAGCTTAATTCTGTTCCCACTTAATTTTCTGAAGATTTTCCCTACAGATTAGCAGCAGTGAGGTTTGTGCTAATGGTGCAACAAGATCAAGAGGGAATCACAGAATTCTAAAAGCAACAGCCAGACAAACTTTGAGTGCGTTAAAAACATTCTGCAGTCAGCCCTTTGTATTCACTGGGATTATGGGCACAGGATCCTTGAGAAAATGAAAAGTAGTGAATAAAGAAATGGCTTTTTCTTTAAACTTAGAGTCAGTGCCATCTTAACACATTGGCACTTGCCCAGGGACCTCGCAAGCATAGGGGTCGAATGCTAATTCATGCTCTGACCAGAATTTAATAACCATTTTCTGATCACCGACCTCAACATTCAAATGTCTGCTAACTTGATAGGAGAAAAATTACAACTTGTAGCCAAGAGTTGGCATGTCTACATTTGTGAGAAATATTTTACTATTTTTATTGCCGACAATCTTTTGGAAGCAGAGTATTGTAATGAATTTGTGGGAGGCAATTTGTGACTGTGGGTAGCAATTGCTGACTGTGTATTTTCATTATTGGAAGCAGAGCCTCCGCTGCTTTTGTCTCGGGAACTTAATTTGTGCAAGGAAGGATACGAAGAAGTGGAAGAATGTGAAGTGAGGACAAAAACTGTAGGATGATCAGGTGTCAGTGAAATTCGTAAATAACCCTTTGAGCAGAAATGAAACTGTTTTTAAGCAGAGTGCAGAAGAGGAAATGAGCTGCAGAGGAGAAAGAGAAAAGGAGCACTGATTTTGTTGGAGGTACCAATACATACAAGTTTATTCTAACGATCATTTACATGGGTTGCTGTGAGTTTTCTGGGCTGTATGGCCATGGTCCATAAGCATTCTCTCCTGGTGATAATTTATATTTTTATTCCTGTGAGTGGTTGTGTAGGCAGAGCCCAATGCACTATAATGCTGTTAAGATGGCCCTGCTGGGAGAACACTTTTCTAGGAATGTATATGACACTATAGTCAACATTCATTGGGAACAAACCATAGAATTACATCAAATTACCTAGATCAGGGGTCCTTAAACTTTTTAA